CTTTGTGTTTTCTCTCTTGTTTGCCTGAGTTACCCATATTACTGTTTGCTTTCCCTTCTTAGCTTTGGCTATGGAAATGTTGTTCTAGCATGCCTTAATTTTTGCAAAGCTTTCCTTTAGAGGAAGACCATGTTTGAAATTCCATCCACTGGAATGGCATTAAAGTCAAAGGGTCTTCTAGGTCACAATTAATCCAGTACTACAAAGTAGCATCTCAGTGGTGCTGCCTTTAGAAAGTTGAGCTCCAGGATACACACACCTGCAGGGAACTGTGGCCACATTTTAGAAGCTCCTTCTCTGACCACCCTCTGTAGCAGAGCCTCTCTTCTCCTGGCAGTTAAATATTCTAAACCCAGCAGCATGTCCTGATGGTGAAAACCTGGACGAAGAGGTAACCTGTGAACCTCTCTGAACCATAATTGTCTCATCTGTATAATATGGATAATAATACTTGTCTTATCTCCTTGTAACAATCAAATTAGATCATGCTTGTGAATGTTCTGTAGTCTTTTAGACAAATGTAAGTTATTACTACAGCATGCTGTCATGGATATTCATCTGGTTGAATGTTTAAGACTTGTGAGTCATGCTTAAAACTAAACTTTATTTCTATTTTGTCGATTTTCTTTTTAGCCCTGTGTACTATATTTAATTTTTTGAGAATGGGGCTAAAAAAGAAATCCTTTCTAGCATTTTATAGATGCGGTTGAGTTGATTGTTGTAAGCCTTGGAGCAGAATTAGACAGCACCAGTGAATTTATTACATATAAACAGATATATAGACAAACCGTCTACTTAGCAGTATTACACCACCTCTCATCTTTGGTGTAATAAAGACGCATCTGAAGGGCTAAAATGTTAGGAATTGTCATGGAAGCTTTTACTTTTAGGATTTCCTGATACAGAATGTAAAATCACTCACTGAGGAGGTTAACAGCAAAAAAGGCAGTTACAAGACTAAATAATCCAAGTTTTGCTATGATTATTATTATCACTGGCTGCTTTTCCAAAGTCTTCTATTAGAAACAGAGCTACATAAATGACAGGGGCTCTTCATATGATGTCATGTTACTTGCTTTTTAGAAATCATTCAAGTAAAGCTTTGCCCTGTTAGAGAAGCTGAAGAGATTCCTCATGACTGATCATTGACATCTATCAGATCCCTTCGAGCTTATAATTTGGGTTTAGCATGGCCTGTACTTGACCAAATAATTCCAGTGAGTTCACTGGTGCTTTCCAAATGGGAAAGCTTCCCATGAAGATTAGGTCAAAACTGACTTTTCTTATGGTTTAAAAAACTCATCAGTAAGTTTTTACTGAGAACTATTACTCTGTGTTAAGCATTATTTGGGTCAGACATGATTCATTCCCTCAGAGAGCTTATCATCTAACTGAAGACTGGCCATGGTTAGCAAACACCGTCAACAATTAACAAGTGAGTAGGGAATGAAGTACTAAATGAGATGTAACATGCAAATTTTAGAAGAGAAGGAAGACAGTGTGTGCTGGAGTAATTAGAGAAGGTGCCATGTGTGATTTGATGCTTGAACTGGGCCATGAAGGATAAACAAGACTTAGAAGAGAGAGAAAAGAGTTTGCCAGGAATGGAACAAGTCACTTCCAGGCAATAATGTTTCTGGGGTTCCAGGGACTCTGGCCTGATCAGAGTAGAGGTGAGTAAGGTGAGACCAGATTTTGAAGGGTGTGAATACCAGATAAAAGAGGTTAGATGGGATCTAGTGGACCAAAAAAAATGCCATTGCAAGTTTTTGTAAGAGAATGATGAGCTCAGAGTGGTTAGTCAGGCAGTGGTCATCATAGTTGAATGGAGCAGAAAGGATATGAAGTACGTCTGGGAGACATTGCAGTCCCAAAACGAGATGGTGACAGCTGAGCCAAGATGGTGGCAGTGGGATGGAGGAAAAAGGCGATGGACAAGAAAAAAATGTCTTAAAGGAAAAATGAGCAGGACTTCTTCACTGATTGGATTTGAAGACCATACCTAAAATGTATGGTCAAACTTGATTCCAAGATTTCTTGCCTTCACCCTGGATGGTCCAAAGGAATAAGAAATCACTGTCAGAAACAGAAAAGTTAGGAAGTAACATTGTCCCCACAAAAAGTACTGAGTTTGGTGTTGGATACGTTCCCAGGCCTTGTGAGTGAGTAGGCAGTGAGCATCCCGGAAGTGTCCCTCTGGGTAGGGCTGGAGATGGGGGCTGGACTTCAGCACCAGGAAGTTCATTACTGACTCTGCAGATGTTCAGCTTTCAGGGATGCCCTGGGTTTGGGCATCAGGATGGAAGCCAAGTTATATTGACTCAGATACCATTTGTATCTGAAATAGTTACTTATGGAACTGCTAAGAAGAGTATGTAAAGGACTGACTACTTTTGTAACCAAGAAGTTATTAATAAAAAGATGAGACCAGTAAAAGGCAGGGTAAACTTCTTTAAGCCAAGTATAGGAAAAGGTAATCATTAAAAGACTTATTACTGTGGTAGTGGTTATAAAACAGTTGCCCAACTCAATTTGAAGATGCTTGAGTGCCTTAGGCCATTTTAAGCAGTTTTTGTGGGCACTTAGTAAATATTTACGAGACTTACTCTATTTGATTAGTTCTAAAATGAGCATCTCTGAAATAGGTTGTGTCCTACAGTTGATGTCATTTTATTGTTGTTGGCCAGGTAGGAAGGAGTCACAGCACAGTTGTCACCACCTTAGCCAATTTATTTTGCTTAGTTTTCTTTGGTTACGCATGCAGAAAAATTATATATGATAAAGTGTGTCCAAATAAGCCTAAGAGAGCTCTTCAGCAAGTATATAGTAACAGTTCCGAGTAATAAAGCAGTAGTTTAATTGGCTGCATTTTTAGTTTCTTAGTGGTACATAAAATGGTGTGTTTTATAATGCAGGTATCTTAGATTTAATGAAATAATAGTATTAAAAGATAACTGATCACAGCAAATCTCTAGTGATATAGATGGATGTAGTAATATACAGATGATATAGATGGCTGTAGTGAAATATTCTAAATTTGCATTCTTTCCTCAGTCTCCATCGGAGGTGCCCCTTTGGTTGTTTTAATTTGAACTGGGAACATTAGGAGAAAGGATTTTCATTCAGTGGTACAGCCAGGTACAGAAAGCTCCTTGGAGGATACATTTCTTTGATGCTGCAGAATCCAGAACATTCACAAAAGGTTCAGGTGTAAGCAGAATGGGTATCTGTGGTTCATTCAAACCAGTGTGCCCTTCCTACCCTCAGACCCTTGTATACTCCAGACAGTCCTGAGCATGCTTGCTAGTTGTACAAAGTGAGAGTGAATCCACAAGGAAATTTGTGGGTGTTTGGGGACAGTAATAGTCTCTCCGTGATCTCTTATAAAAGCGGAGAACAGAAACATTTGTTTCTCCGTACCAGCATTTTCAGCCATTTCTGCAGAATGACCTATTGACTGGAGGTAGGTTGTTGCCTTCCTGTTCAGTGACACTTCATGGACAGAAAAACAGTCCTTCTTCCTACTGGTTAGCCCAGCATAACAACTAGGGCACGTGTGTGTCTCTTTGTAAGTCCTTGCTCCAGGACTGAGAAGTAGGAATAGTTAGAGTGTCGGAGCTGAGGGAAGCTTCTGTCTCTTGCTAAGGGACCCAGTGCTTCAGGTAAGTGATTCTGAAGTCCTTCACCCTCAGATGGTAACCTTGGGTCGGTCTGTAGGTATGTTTTCATGTTATTTGTTCACCTATTCTAATTGGTTTCCCAGAGTCTACTTGTAGACATAGAGCCAAATTTAGAGAATAGCAACCCTCTGGCAAACAGGAAAAGATTAATTTTGTGGTGTGCTGTTAAGGGACTTCCCAGAAAACTTCAAAAGCACAGAAAGAAGCCTATTCCAAAATGTGCAAAATGCCACGCAGCTTTTTAAAGGTGTGATAAACTCTGAGCTCTCTCATACACATGCACAGCGGACCACAGCTCCAATAAAAGGAGAAGCTGAGCTTTCTTAGATGGGGCCACCTGTGAGCCAGGAAAGCCAAGGCGTGAGGGGCTTGGAGAGTTGGTGGAGATAACTGTGGATCCGCATCTGGGAGGCATTTGAAATTGACTTCGGTGCCTTTTTAATGCTGACTTTTCCAGTTCTCTCTTAAGTAGACACATTGTTTTCATGATATCAGCCCCAGGCATAGACACGCCATTAAAATCAACGCATAGAAAATGATTTGTGTTTGGAAATAAGCAAAACATTTTCAGTTATGACCACCCAGGTGTAGTAGGGAAACACTGGAGCTGAAGTTGGGAGCCCCAAGTTCTAATATGAACTTTCTTCGGGACAGGAAGCAATTCCTTCAGTGGCCTTTGGTTTCCTTATCTGTAAAGCAGGAGATGGCTTGATGGGATTATCTTTCTGCTTTTGTTCTATGGGAGGAGAAAAAAAAAAAAGTCAACGTAAAGGCTCTTTACCCCTCCCTGACTTCTTTTTCATGGTGCTCTTCATGCCTAGATATCACACAGCTAGAAAGGCCCCCACAGACCCCTCAAGCCACTACTGTTCCTGTCACACGTTCCCGCAATAGGACCATGTTGCTAACTTGAAAAAAAAATTACTATTACACTTGCATTTGTTGCTTAGTAACATTTCTGATTTTGTGTTTCTGTGACAGCCTGAGCAGAGATCATTAAAAATTAAACTTACAAAGCTGCCAAAGTGGGAGGAAGGAGGAGAACTTGAAGCCACCATTTTTTTCACTTGCTTAGAAGCCATCTAACCTTGGGTTTCAATGCCGAGTCTTGGGGCAAACACAGCACGGTCTCTGGTTTATATTAAACCACATAGGGTACACTCCTGACATTAACTTGTGTTGCAGCTGGAGTTTGTCACCAGTACATAAAATCCTTGACCCTGCAGAATGGCTTGGAATTACAATCACATGGCCGCACTGCATCCCTGCAGGAGAAAGCCCTAACGAGTTCTGTGTCCTCTTTGTGCTTTCTCCCTACAGTTCCACCAGGTGAGAAGAGTGATGACCATCCTTTTCCTTACTATGGTTATTTCATACTTCGGTTGCATGAAGGCTGCCCCCATGAAGGAAGCAAACGTCCGAGGACAAGGCAGCTTGGCCTACCCAGGTGTGCGGACCCATGGGACTCTGGAGAGCGTGAATGGGCCCAAGGCAGGCTCCAGAGGCCTGAATTCCTTGGCTGACACTTTTGAACACGTGATAGAAGAGCTGTTGGATGAGGACCAGAAAGTTCGGCCCAATGAAGAGAACAGTAAGGACGCGGACTTGTATACTTCCAGGGTGATGCTCAGTAGTCAAGTGCCTTTGGAGCCTCCTCTTCTCTTTCTGCTTGAGGAATACAAAAATTACCTGGATGCTGCAAACATGTCTATGAGGGTCCGGCGCCACTCTGACCCCGCCCGCCGTGGGGAGCTGAGCGTGTGTGACAGCATTAGCGAATGGGTAACAGCGGCGGATAAAAAGACTGCAGTGGACATGTCGGGCGGGACGGTCACGGTCCTTGAAAAAGTCCCCGTATCGAAAGGCCAACTGAAGCAGTACTTCTATGAGACCAAGTGCAATCCCATGGGTTACACAAAGGAGGGCTGCAGGGGCATAGACAAAAGGCATTGGAACTCCCAGTGCCGAACTACCCAGTCGTACGTGCGGGCCCTGACCATGGATAGCAAAAAGAGAATTGGCTGGCGATTCATAAGGATAGACACTTCCTGTGTATGTACATTGACCATTAAAAGGGGAAGATAGTGGATTTATGTTGTATAGATTATATTGAGACAAAAATTATCTATTTGTATATATACATAACAGGGTAAATTATTCAGTTAAGAAAAATAATTTTATGAACTGCATGTATAAATGAAGTTTATACAGTACAGTGGTTCTACAATCTATTTATTGGACCTATCCATGACCAGAAGGGAAACAGTCATTTTGCGCACAACTTTAAAAAGTCTGCATTACATTCCTCGATAATGTTGTGGTTTGTTGCCGTTGCCAAGAATTGAAAACGTAAAAAGTTTAAAAAATAATAATAAATTGCATGCTGCTTTAATTGTGAATTGATAATAAACTGTCCTCTTTCAGAAAACAGACAAAAAAAAAAAAACAAAAATTTGAACCAAAACATTCCGTTTACATTTTAGACAGTAAGTATCTTCGTTCTTGTTAGTACTATTATCTGTTTTACTGCTTTTAACTTCTGATAGCGTTGGAATTAAAACAATGTCAAGGTGCTGTTGTCATCGCTTTTACTGGCTTAGGGAATGGGGGCTGGGAGGGGTATATTTTTGTTTGTTTTGTGTTTTTTTTTGTTTGTTTTGTTGTTTTGTTTTTTTTTTGTTTTTTTAGTTCCCATAGGGAGTAGGGATGGGGAAAGAATTCCTTCAATATATATTCTGGTTGATAAGAGATTTATTTGTATGTTGTAAAGATGTTTGCAATATCAATCAGATGACTGGAAAATGAATAAAAATTAAGGCAACTGAACAAAGTGCTCACTCCACTTCCCATGATGCACCTCCTAGGCTCCCACTCGCCCTTTGGGCCTTGGTCAGGGGAGGCTCCTTTTGTCTGAAAGACCTACATTTTCTTAGAGCACATTCTTTCCCTCCCTCCCCCTTTGGTCCCCTCTTTGTTTTGTTTTCTCTCAAAGGAAGAAAAATCAGTTGCGCGCTCTGAAATAATTTACCACTGCTGTGAACGAATGAACAAATTTTGTCATTGTGGCACTCATATAAGCATGGAGAACAGGGATTTCTTTCTTTTCTTTTCTTTTTCTTTTTCTTTCTTTTATTTTTTTTAAGAAGAGAAAAAGACAACAAAACACAAAAATGAAGATTCTTTTTTACGAGGGGTAAACGTTGGGTAAATGATTGTAAGGCTTCACAGAATCATGGTAAGGCTTGCAAGCAAAAGGTGGAGTTCTGTACAGACCCAGAAACGCCTAGATCAGAGTAGGAGTCCACATGCCAGTGAAATGAGACTGAAGAGCAGCCATATGGAGGCTGTGTGGAGCTGACATGTCTTTTCCGGGCGGTGCGGGAGAAATTCCTGAGTGGCCACCCTGAGGTCTAGGTGGGGGTGGGGAATGGTACTTGAGACATTCCAGAAGGGAGGCCTCTGAAGGACCTTTCAGAGGTGGCTCTGGAATGACTATGTCAAGTTGCTTGGACCTCACGCTTTAAGTGCCTACATTATCTAACTGTGCTAAGAGGTTCTCGCTGGAGGACCCCACTCAAGCTGACTTATGCTCTCCACCCCTGGGTAATTTGTCCTAAAGCTGGATAAGCCTGGAGCAGGTTCAGAACCAAATATGGCATTGTGATCTTGAGACTGATACAATGAGAGAGAAGATGCTTGCGACATGAACACTTACTGCTTTGAAATTAGACTTGAGGAAACCAGGGTTTTGTCTTCTGAGAACTTTTGGTAAGGGGGAAGGGACAGGAAAAGGCCCCAAAACTCAGGTTGGATGACCCAAGGCTACTGACAGAAAATCTTGTCCAGAGACAAGACTTCGAGAAGGTGTCAGCACATCTAGGACACCAAAGGCTTGAAAAGGTGCCTTGTTCAATGGAAGAGGCTGGGACAGAGCCGACAAAGTGTTGCTCCCCAGTGAAGGCATCAGCAACCTTCTGCCCATCCTGTCTGTTCATGGAGAGGGTCCCTGCCTCACCTCTGCCATCTTGGGTTTGGAGAAGTAAAGTTGGGAGTCTGGAAGAGTGGTCCTGGGAGAAATAGTGCTAAACCCACTCCCCCATTCAGCCCCCTATCCAAATCTGAGAATGTCCTAGACCAGGGTCCTTGAATAGCAGAAAGCCTCCAGAAGTTGCTGCGTCTTAGTAGGTTGGGTGAAGGGTCAGCAAAAGAGGATGTCCACCATGACCCAGGGAATGAAGATACCATCAGCAAATAATTTCTATTTGTTCAGTCTTTCATTTAGAACGAGCCGAGCCTATCCTTTACGATACCATCTGAACACCTGTCCTTAAAAGAGGGAAGATTTTAGTAGAGGTTTGTTTTGTGCTGTTTGAAAATATTGCTTTGTAATTATTTTTGACATGTAATGAATATCTGCTGTATGTTAACTTTTTGCAGCTTGCTTCTGAGGGACAAAATTATAAAACAGGAAGTCCCCGTCACAATCTCAAAGTCCTGCAAAGGCCAGATCTGTTACGTGATTGAATAGGAGACCCCGAGCAATTGTGTGGTCACTGGCTCTCTCTTACCCCATAGGTTACATCACAGTCACACGCTTGGTGGCTTATGTTGACCTAAGATTTATTTTGTTAAAATCTTTCTCTGTTGCTGTTCATTTTTGTTCTGTTCAGTTCTGTTTTGTTTTGTTTGTTTTTTAAAGTCTTGCTGTGGTCTCTGTGGCAGAAGTGTTTCATGCATGCCGGCAGGCCTGTTGCTTTTTTATGGTGATTCCCATTGAAATGTAAGTAAATGTCTGTGGCCTTGTTTTCTCTATGGTAAAGATATTATTCACCATGTAAAACAGACAAAAAAAATATTTATTGTATTTTAGTATATTTATATAATTATGTTATTGAAAAAAAAATTGGCATTAAAACTTAACCGCATCAGAAGCCTATTGTAAATACAAGTTCTATTTAAGTGTACTAATTAACATATAATATATGTTTTAAATATAGAATTTTTAATGTTTTTAAATATATTTTCAAAGTACATAAAATCTGGGGGTTCTGGGTTTTTTCTCTTCACTGTAAAACCAAACATGAAAACGCGTTTTATTATAAATACGTGTGTTCCTTGCTTTAAGACCAACCTGACTAGTGTTAGCAATTGCACAGCCCCACCAGAGAGGAGGCTTATTTCAAAGCAGGGGAGGCCAGTCCTGCAGTCTGCGAGCTTCTGAGAAGCTCTAGGATTGGGCCCACCTTCTGCAGTGGAAGACGAGAGTGTCAGATTCTAGGACACTTGAAAGTTTTCTCCTTTGAAGTGATAGACTTTCATCAAGTACCAAACCATGTATCCTAGCAACATCAGGATCCATGAATCAGGGCTGGCTGGCTCTATTTGATTATAAAATAACTGTTAAAAAAAAAAAAATCAAAGTAGGTTTACTTAGGAATAATGAGAATAAATTGGCCCAAATTTAGAAAGTCAATGACTGAAAGAAAACATAGAAATTCAATATTTAGAAGCAGGTCATGTACCCTCCGTTTGGAAATGGTGCCATTTGCATTATGTATTTGTATCCATTGCACTGATTTAATTTTTGTATGTGAAGCATGCAGATTTTATATCATAGTACCCGTGATCTAACAGATTGCTAGGATTTCTAAAAAGATTTGCCACTGTGATGGCTGCCAAGCCGCTGGGTAATTTAGTTAAAGTGTTTAAAGTTATCACTAAATCTTAGGGAAATAAATGGAAGGATTTTAAATTAGAGAAAGAGCCATTAAGGAAAAAAAGCATCTGTTCCTACTCTTCAGACTCCCCATTTGAACACTGACAACCCATCCCAGAACGTGGTGAACCATATCTGTGCAATGTATCATTTCTATTTCAAACATACACACATGGTTTCCTCTTGTATTGTCTTATAAATAAGGATCAAGAAAGTCATAACAAACATTGACTTGTGTTGTGTATACGGAAGAACAGAACCAATGAGATGAATTACTCGATCCTAATCTGTCCAGGGAGCTTGCAAAGTACTCCAAACTCTAAGAGAAGACCCTGCCTGGCAGTCCGGGCATGAGCCCAGCCGTGGAATTAGATCTTTGGTAAACGTCAGGCTTAACCAATTTTCATAGTCCAGGAAGACTAAGATATTTTTGAAAGGATTGTGTAAAAAGAGAATGAAGTCTGGCATTCAAATTACTTAAAGGGGTGTGGTAAACAGTCCTGGGAGTTTTCATCGGAAGATGAGGTCAGAGAAACAAACAAAAAATGGAGGCTCTACCAAATTAACCAACTTGGAGTTAACAGGGGTAGTCAATTTGTACTCTGTTCGTTGGGTACAAGCAGTAAAACCTGTTCAGTCATTGGGATGCCTAGACATAACCCAGATCATTGCTTTCTTGGATCAATTGTTTTTCACAGTATTGAGAGGCCTCTGTGATTATTGGCACTGTCAATGGTATTGTTAGCAGTACTAATTCCACGAGTTGTGAGATTCTGAACGAAGTACTAGAGTGGATCCGTCCTGAATCTTCTCTTATTCATTTAAGTGATTACTAGACTCTGGGTAAGATGTCAAACACCTTATTAATTGCAACCAAGGGTTTCCAGCCTGGCCTCGGTTCAGCCAGCACTAAGGCAGCGTTAGGGCCTAAGCCAGATGCAAAACATACATACCTTCTCTGCATTCTCTCATCAAGCCTGTTCTAGAAGTCAGTCAAAGTTGAAACGGCTGCATATTTTGATAAGCTACTCTTAAGTAATAAATGATATGTGTACATACATGTAGGTAGATAAAGTATTTAGCCTGGAGAAAATTCATCCATGGATTTGACCCATCCTCAAAATGTTGGACAGCAAAATTAGTGATGGAATCTGGGCCCTTTTAAAAATTTTTTGGTTTTCAGTTTTTCGTTTTTTTTTTTTTAGCTGTGGGTTGTTTTAACTCTTGTTTTAAAGGTTAGTTGGTTGATGATTTGGCAAAGGGAACGAGGGTTGGGAATCTGACTCTCGTTAGTTACATTAAGCTAACTGGCGATTGGTTCTGTGAATCCTCACCTAAGAGCCAAACTGAGTGACTAGAGTAGGTACAACCACTCCAAACCAGCCAGCGTTTACATATGTTGCAGCTAAGGGACCCCCCGCCCCGCACCTCTGTCCCCAGGCTTGAGTATCTTCATCCACTCCCCAATTCCAGCCACCATTTTGATTCTTTATAGAAAAGCAAAAAGACCCCCTCCTCATCTTTGGATAAGTTATTAAATACAGTAAATTGCCTGAAGAATGTTTAAATATTAACAAAAAACATTGTGATCTTACACATCATTATATTCCTCATTAAGAAAGAGCTCTGTCTGTAGGCTTTCCATAGATCCTCACCTGAACCCCTCTAATTATTTGCTAGGCACAAACACCGGATCAGGGGCCCCCCAACCTGGCATTTGCTTGTCTGAATAAGGATAGTGTACCCTCAGTATTCTCGGTATCATGGAATTGTAAATGCTGGTCCCCTAATTAATTCTCACTGCATGCACGCGCACACACACACACACACACACAACCTTTGCATTCATTATATATT